GAACAAAGAATAAGGAAAATACAAAGTGAAATTACAATATTTTACTTCATATTTTCTTGCTTTCTAATAATAATTTTGAGAGTTTTTCCCACTGGGTCCCCTCAGATTGATAGCAAAAATGGTATTTAAGAGCTTTTAGAATAACCTTCCTTTCAGGATGTTAAAAAACTTGAAATATATAACGAAAATACAGTTAGTGAACTAAGGTCCTGTAAAAGTTACTACTGTAATTATACATTGACATTCAGATTCATTCACAATATCGGGAAGTCTCAGAAACTATTTTAATTGAATCATCAGTGGCAGAGTAGAGTAAACCTTTTTTTTTAAAAAAAAAACCCACCGTTTTGTAGCTTAGAAAAATATCATCTGTTCTAATATTAATCATTAATTCCTTGAGTGTTATTTTTAATTATTGTTGCTTGACTCATAGGTGCATTGTATGTATTGTATTTGCACTGCACAAATATACTGCTCATTTTAAGTCACTGTCAGATCTGAGTCATGGCCAAAAAAAGAAGATAGATCAGAATAAAAACAGTTCCTATCATATGACTATTTGCGCAACATGCCTATTCAAGATGAAATGTACCATAGTTGACTCAATTAATTTTATTTTCTGGATTCACATAAAATGAATGACCTGGGTGCATTAAGCTAAAGCATAGTTAACTAGTTTATGGATTAATGTGGTCGGGGAACATATCCATTGATTGGTATTTTAAGCTGCTGTGTTTTTAATTGATATCTTAGCTGATGTCACTACTTAGCCAACTTGGCCTGTGCTTTGAAGCTAAACAGGATCAGGACTGCTTAGTGCTTGGATGGGAGACCACCAGAAAATTCTGGATTGCAATACGCTGGACTGACAAATAAATAAATATCAATACATTCTAGAATAAGGCAAAGTCAGATGACTTGTATTGTTGCCAAGAATGTGACAAAGGCCATGAAATCAACAACAGCTGAGCCCAACTCAAAGGCAATTTCATAGGTCTACCAGATTTAGACTACAAAACTCCAGACAATCATTAGATGGCAACACAGAAAAAAAGAAAATCCATTTTTTGGTCATTTTATGATCATCCAGGTTTTTGCAGCCTAGATCTTGAGTTTTTAGCAAAAGGGCAACAAATGAATATTATTTATTTATTTATTGAATCAATTTGTACAGCTGTCCAACTCAGCATGTGGTTCTGGGTGGTGGGCAATAACAAAATCAAAACAAATTAAAAAAAATAAAAATACATTACGCACCACCACCACCACCACCACCCCCAAATAAAACTAACATATTCAGGAGATAGCTCTTTTCACATACTTAGAACTCCAGGGCTGGGTACAGATCCAGCTTTTTAAGGCTGCATAAAATGCTAGCAGGGCTAGGCCCATCCTGATCACCACAGGGAGAATGTTGCATCAATAGAGCAGCACAAAAGGCATGCCTTCTGGGCCCTACATACTGACATTCCTTAATTAATGGGCCAGGTTTGGATGGGTAGAACAACCAACAACTGACTGGATTGGATGGGTAGAAACAACCAGACTGAGACAATCCCTCAAATAACCCAATTCGAAGTCATGAAGAGCTCTAAGAATTCTAACCAACACCTTGAATTGCATTCATAGGCTCACTGGCCACCAATCCAGCTTATGAATTAGTGGTGTTATATGTGCCAGGATAACCAACATGGTAATAGGCCAGCCCCATTAGAGAGAATTGCAGTAGTCCAGACAGGAGGTCACATGAGTGATGCTGAATACAGGAATAGGCACAACTGATGCACAACCTGAAATTGTGCAAAGGCCCTCCTAACCATGGCTACCACTTGCTCTTCAAACAAGAGTCCAGATTATGCACCGACACCATCATCATCTGGATAATGGGATGTCATCCTATTTTATCTAGCAGAAATAAATGCAACTTTTATTCATGAGTTCCTTCTGGTGGTCTACCACAAACTCATGATTCATCGAACTCTTAAGAAGAGACTGTATGCTAGTAGGAGAGAAATCCCACCCCAATCTCAGTGAGTTTTGTACACAATATGACCAGATGTAAGAGAAGACAGGGCAATGTCCGTTTCCTAATTGTGTAGGTAAGAAAATTTAGCTGATGTCAGCAATGTCACCAATTATTAAAAATGTATGACTGCTAGTGTTTTGTGCATCCAGCCATACTTGATATAAATTAATTATATGAAAGAAGTTAATCTAAAATTAATTGAAATAAGGAGAAGTTGCATGAAAAAGTTTGTAATGAGAATCTTTTTTGAAAAAATGACATTAAGATTATCCAGATGTGCAGAAGAACTTGCAGGGAGACTGTGCTAATGGGCTTAACCAAAAAGCACAATCCAAAAATATATTATTTTTGGATTGTGCTTTTTCCTTTCTTAAGAAATATAAAGATACATTGCTGCTTTATAAATGTATATTTTGAAGGTTACAATATGATCTATATAGTATAAGTACCACTGAAAGCACCACAGTAACCATTACATTAATTCGTTAAATTCATTCTTGAGCGTTTGTCTTTTGAAAACATCATTTTCAGAATTGACTTTTACCTTACGCATTTATGATTGCAACTCTAATAACAGCTAATATTTAATATGTGAGACAATTATAAATAGCATCTGGCTATTCTGTGGATTTGCTCATTCATACATTTATATTCCATTATGAGGTCCTAAGAAACATTTCTGCCACATCTCACACAAGAAATCGAACCAAAAACAAGTCAAATGCAACAAAACTGAAAACCAAATATAATGTACAGTCTTGTCTTTGGGGGCCTCTGAAGATGTTGCATTTCAACTCACATAACTACCAGCTAACAAGTGCAAGACCACTTAGGTTAAGAATACCCTATACATCTAGAAAACTATTGACTGGAGAAAGCTGGCATGATCCACCTGTACACAAATGAATGCTGCGTGGGTCTAGCAATTGAACCTTCAACAGATGGAGTGGTGCATTCAAATTCAGAGAGGGAAACTACTAGTAGCTGAGAATTGAAGTGCCAAACAATTTGCCTGCCTGTCTTCATTACTTTTCCCATTTCTCTTCTCCTTCTATATACTTAAACTGAACGTAGAAAATGTTCCTCAGCTTCAACTAAAATGCATGTGCTATCCAAAACCCAATACTTTTCTGTCAGAAATGGCACAGCTGGTGTTATGTTATCTTTTCTTCTCTCGTTCGTTCATAAATCACATTTTTGGCTACCCAAATCATAGCAATTCTGCAGGGCATGAATTGTAACAAGAAAGTGGGCTAGACAGAATTTTTTCATTCTGAAAACTTCAGAAATTAGGTTCATCAAATAAGATTAAGTGAAAGTAGATTTGGGCAGCTGGCTGCAAGTGCTTTTTCAAATAACGCATAACAAACATATACTTTGCATTGTCAGTAGACATCATTATGGTAATCACATTAAGTAGCATAGATAATTTGAAAAGGATTTTTTTAACCAGTTCATCTACAGTTATTAATTATGGGGTAAGCAGTACCTACATATGCAAAAGTTGAATGGCATGAATACAACATTGTGCGAATAAATCATACAGGATAACTCTTGCCTCTGTTTTCTCTTGTGGGTTTCCCAAAAATATTTGGTTGGCCACCGATGGAAACAAAATGCTGAACTAAAAGGGTTCCTGATCTGATCTTGCATGGCGCGCGCACACACACACATACACACACACACACACACCACAGCTGATGTCCTTCCATATAGAAACTCTGAAATGCAGGGAGTTGGTACTCAGAAAATATTTCTGTCTCTTAAGCTACCTTGATTGCTCTTTAAGAAACTAAACAGTAAATGGACAGGAAAAAGACACCTAAGTATAGACCTCTGGCAAAACCCCAAAGCTGGAATCTCTGCTTGGTAATATTAATGGGACTGATGAGGCTTTCTCTGAGGAATAGATGCCATTTTCATTTACTGAGGGATCAGGAGTCATTATTCTTTTTTGGTTTTTTGTAAAAGTCAATTTATGTTCCAGTATATGAACATTAGGGCCCCAGCTAAAAGAGTGATTGGATTTATTATTTTGAGGAGTACTTTGTAATGTACCTTCTTAAATATCTGTTTTGATGTTGCTTTTATTACTGTTTGTCCCTTTTATATGGGTAAGCTCCCTTGGGAGAGCTTTTCACCATAAATGTAGGCCAGAAATATTTTAAATAAATGAAAATGTCATCTCTTATTATTGAACTCTTTTGAAAAACTGATTCCTGATTCTTGGATTGTCAAGAATGTTAGAACTGAACTTCTATCTGGCAGAGGGCTGGAATGGATGCACTTTATAAAAATATGAAACCCCAAAATTACTTATTCCCCTCTCAATAGCTGTCAAACTGAAATAGAAAGTATAACCATTAAAAGTAGTTATGCAAGAAACTGAATTATAACATTAATGATAAATCTGGCATAATAACAAAGGGCTCCTCTAAATTCAATAACTTTGAAAAAACATCTGTTTTTTTTCAAATATGATAACAATATAATAACAGCTCTTTACCCATAATTCAGATACCTATGTTTCTAAATAGTCTTCAAATATATGTTTTCATTTTTTTAAAAATCCAAATATGGAAGTTTATTTATAAGACTGTCAACCCCAATAATACAGAAATAACCATATGCTGAAAAGTATAGGTATTTGTTTGGCTCTGTGCAACAAAACAAAGGCATGAAAAGAAAAGATGCACCATTTCAGAGGAATAAACTTTCCATGGATGATGATACAACATAGATGATACAACCAACTGCAACAGAGAAAAGTCTCCCTGCAATTCACCCTGAAGATTTTGGCATATTTTGTGTCCCCGAAAATGTACCTTTTCTCCCAGCTATGCAATCATTCCAATTTTCTGCCAGTTCTCCCTCACCAATTTATGCTCTTATTAAACCATTTTCCAACTCTGTCACAGGTCTTGCCTCAATAAGATAGAAGTGGCACAATATCTTAGAGCTCTTTATTTCTTACCTGGCTCTGTGCAGTTCTTTTCGTGTGACTCATTATGTGATGCCATCAATTTTCTATTCCTCCATAATTCTGACAGAACACTTTGGTTGACAACAGCTGACTCTTGTCCTGCATAAAGACAGACACTGTATTTGTAAGAGCAAAAAGGACTTTGAGTTATCCATATATATAATTATTTCCATTAGAAAACCATAATTTGATTTTCATAATTTGAGACTAAAATGGAAGTTGCCTCTTACTGAATCAAACCATTAATACACCTAACACCAGGAATTCTCCACCATATTAGCTAGAAAGGAATCTCCGATAATCTTTTTGAATCATACAAATTGTATATGGAGTGATGCATAATAGAGAAAAATCCCAGACAAGAAGCGGAGAGTGGGAGGGAGATAAGGAAGAAGGACAAAAAGTGCTATAGTGGTTACAGTATTTGGCTACAGAAATCAGGATGTGCAATGGAGGTTTTTTGTGACCTTGTGTAAATAGAATGTAGAATATTCTTTATTGGTGTGATCAGACACTCAAGGAATTTGTCCACAAAGTCATAAATCATAAGATATAAAGTCCTTCATAGAGTTGTGAAAAAGCAAGATATGACCATTAATACTAAAATATGCAGAAAGTTCCATCTTGATTATGTGAGTGCTCAACACAGCTCAGTTAATCATTTAACTGTGATGCAACATGGTAGACAAGCATGGGATTATCTACGGAGGGACATGCAGGCATAGAATCATAGAATTATTCTTTTCTAAGCTCCTGCTCAGGACAGGAATTCAACAAACAAATGGCTATTCAACCTTTGATTGAAAACCTCCAGTGATGAAATAGCCACAACTCCAGGAGACAAACTGTTCCACTGCTCAACTGCTTTTAGACAGGAAATTCCTCATTTAGAGTTTGTATCTTTTTTTGTAAAGCTTCTACACTCATTGGTTCTTGTCCTACCATTAGGAACTAAGAAGAATAAGTTCACATCCTTGTCCCTGGAATACAGTCCTCCATGTTTTGGAAGGCCACTCCAATGCCACCCATCAGTCTTCTTTTCCTTAGGCTAAATACAGCCACCTACTTTAATTGTTGTTTACAGGATACAGCTTCCAAATCCCTTACCATCTTTGTTGCTACTCTTTGTATTCTTTCTGGTTCTTTCTTTTTGTATTATAGCAACCAAACTTGGATACAACACAGGCAGTCCTCATTTATTGACAGTAATTGAGACTAGGAACTTCATCACTAAGTGATGTGATCATAAGGTATGATATCGTTTGATCATGCTGACTTACAATGGCAGTTGTGTGATTGCCATTTGTGACTTCCTGCCACTTTCGCCATTGATTTTGCTTGTCAGAAGGCAGCAGCAATGGTTGCAAAGGGCAATCACATCACCATAGGATGCTTCAATGCCATCATTGCAAGCTGGCCACCCAGCACCCAAAATCATGATCATGTGACAATGGAGATGATACAACAGCCACAAATATGAGGAATTGTCATAAATAGACCTCTTCTGGGCCACAATTTTGAACAGCTGCTGAATGAGTGACCATTAAGCAAGGACTAGATTACCTGTATTGCAGGTTTCATCTAATAAGTACAGGATAAAACTATCTCATGCTTAATCTGTGGTCTAAAGTTCCAGCTCCCTCTTCGAATACTATTGCTAAAACAGGTACCACTTACCTTATATCTGGGCATCTGATTTTTTCCTACCTAAATGCAAACTTCACATTTCTCAACCTCACAGTTTTTTGGATGATGTTCAAGACCAGTGGTGTCAAACTCAACGGCCTGGGACCCAGAGCCGGCCCCCAGGGTGCTTAGATTTTCTCCCAGAGCTGCCCTGGAAACAACAAAGGACCGGCCCGAGATGCCCCTGCCAGTGAAAATGGGCTCCTGAGCTCCATTTTTGGCTACGATGGCCTCCTGCAACTCTCTGCCAGCAAAAACAGAGCTCAGGAGCCTGTTTTCACTGGCAGAGTGCCCGGGCCATCACAGGCACCCCCAACATAAGTGCTGTCAAGCTGTCCAACCCACCCCGGCCACGCCCACCCCAGCCCCCCAAAGTCAAATGGAACCCTGATGCAGCCCTCAATGAAATCGAGTTTGACACCTCTGTTCATGACTATTGAGATCCTTTTGAACCTTGAGCCTGTCTTCTGAAGTAAAAGCAATCCCACCCTTCTTTGTGTCATCTTGAAATCTGTTGAACATCCTTATATTCCCTCATCTCAAAACATTTATACAAATGTTGAAAAGTCCTTAATGGCATTCCAAAAAAACCACAGGTATATAGTCCTCAATGATAGTTCCCAGGGCAAACAAACTGGCAGAAAATAAGAACAATAACAACAAAAATAAAAGAATTTAAGAAATGGGAAGAAGAAATGAGCATTTGTTTCACTGTTCTCCTTCAATTCAACAGCCAGGTCATACACAAGTTATAAAACAACCTACACAAGATTTGTATTGTTCTCAGTTAATAGATGGTTACTTCAAGAATCTCTTTCAAGTCTACTATGCAGAGACAATTTCAAATAACCCTTTATTCTAAAGATGCCCAGTAGGAACCTGCCATTTAAATTCTCATAGAAATGCTAGCTTTAGAAGCAGAGTAATATAGGCCCCCTGGGCTCATTCATACAAGTCAGACATAGAAAATAAAATGGGAAAAGTTAATGACGTTGGCTTAATACCTTGTAATTTAGCAATCTTAGAGTTATATAACTGAAAAAGCAAAAGATTAAAAAAATACCTGTAATGCAATGCATTTATCATGGAATCAGATACAGTATCAGAATCCATGTCATTAGAGATTTTATAGGGGTTAACTATATTTTTTATTTCCATGATCTAAAACATTGCATAGAAATGCAAGCATTGCAAGGGTTTTATTAGATGTATGAGTGGAGGATTAGTTTTTTTGCCTACATTTGTCATCATCCGTCCAGTAACCTCTAAAACAATTTTTAAAGCTTGCTTCTCTATAGGTATTTCCCCATGGCCTTAAAGAGTTGATTGGAATGAGCCACTAGGAACCATTGGCTTATGAATATGGAGGTCTATGCATATTTGTCCACATTAAATGAGACCAACAGAGCATTTATTCAAAGTTGATTACATTAACAAAAATACTCACTTTTTTTTAAAGGTGGTGATAGAATATCTGTATGTCTTTTCTTACACACTAATTTAGAATCAGTGCTGAATTCAAACAATTATCTAAAAAAGATTATATGCTGTAAAATTTGAGGCATGCTAGATGCTTACTTAGTTCTGATCAATTTGCACCAAGACAAATTTGCACCAAGACAAATTCCTTGTGTGTCCAATCACACTTGGCCAATAAAGAATTCTATCCTATCCTATCCTATCAGCTTTCTCCAGGATCTTCTCCTAGGTACAATTCATATCTTCATACCTTGAATTACTATACTATATTATCCCCTGCTCATTGGGGATAGTAAAACTTACAGTCAACACATCTGGGACACATCACATTGGGAAAAGCAAATAAGTTGCCAATGTTTACATGACACTGCTGGCCAAGTAAGCGACCTCAACTACTGATAGCCTCATCTTGTGTGCCGGTAAAGCACAATCTCTGGTGACCTAGTCAGTTGGGAGCAACCATTTTCTAAATTCTCCCAGGATCTGGCCAAAGGGGTTGAGGGCTACCATTTCTTTTTCTTTTTTTTAATCAGAGCAATTTTTAAACAGTGGTCTCGTGCATAGAAAGCCAGAGAGATGACCTTGAAGAAAGATGCCACAGACCTTTGAGAAGCACCAGGTGCAAAGCAATAGGTGTTAAAACCAGAAAGGCAAGAGAACATTACAAAATGACTCAGACTAGCTCCCCCTTCTTGCCTTCCAGACTCCTTGGTAAAAGAGGGAAAGAAGGGAAGATACAAAAGCAGACTTGTAAGATTCTTTACTACATAGTAGCTTATCTCAGTATAGTTCTAGTCTTCTGATCGAGTCAAAAATCCCCTTTTCATAGATCTGTCTAGGATTTGGATTCAGATGGGGCAGATAATCCTTTGAGCTAAGATTGTGGGTTGTGGGAACAAGGCTGGTATGGCCTTTTAAACATTCTTCTTTACACTTAGCAACTTCTTCATACAGTATGTGAGAGTGTAGAAATATCTCACTAATACTGAAATTAAAAATAGATTACTAAAACATCAGGACACAGGTATAGAATCCCAGCATCTATCAAACAAAAAGGAAGGAAGGGAGGAAGAGAGGGAGGGAAGGTCCTCACAAATATTAATAAAGTTCACAGTAAGTTAATCTAAATTCTGTAATGCAGTCATATTTATATTTAAGTCCGCCGCCCTACCCCTCCAGCTTTCCTTTATATGGAAAAAGTTTCAGCATCAATATTTCTTAAATCCAGTGAAACTAATCAAATAACCAGATAATCACAGGATGATCAACTTCATTGAAACTCAGGACTATTCTTTGTCTTTGTGCCTTAACTAAATATATCCATGTTGTCCTTTGAAACCAAATGAGGGGTGGGGACCCCAGTTTGGTTGGGCTCAATATTTTAAAGTGTGAAGTGTTGCCTCATGTTTCTGCAAGGATTAAAGCATCCATTTCATTGTAGGCGTTACCCATAATGCAAAAAAAAAGTTGAAAATGTAGGCCTTACTCACCTCAGGAGGGCTGCAGAGGGTGCAAATCAAACAATGGCATACGGCCTGGTTTTACTTGAGGGACAGTCTGTCTCCCAATCCAATCTGGCAGGGTTAGTGTGTTCCAGGTTCCCTCAACTAAACAATGTCATCTATCGGGATCCCAAAAGCACATCCACTCTCTACAGCAGCACCTATCTTCCGGAATGTGATTCCCCTGAGATCTGTAGCCCCCACTCTGCTGTTGTTTTTAGAAGAGCAAGATGACTTGACTCTCCAACCATGTCTTTGACAAGGGACAGGAAGATCGCCTTTTATCTTTATCTTTTAGCCTTTTATTGGTTGTTGTGAGCCACCCAAAGTTGCTGGGATTCGGGCAGCATACACATTTAATAAATTATTATTTACACAACATGTGAAATCACAGCTTCCCATTCTTTAGCTGCTGTTGAACTGGTGTTGGAACTGCCAAAAAAAGCCAACACAATCCTAGGCTGCATTAACAGAGGAATAATATCAAGATCATGTGAAGTTAATACTGCTTTATAATGCCTAGGTAAAACCACACTTGGAATACTGCATCCAGTTGTGGTCACTGAGACTCTAGAAAAGTGCAGAGAGATGATTAGGGGGCTGGAGGCTAAAACGTATCAAGAATGGTTACTGGAATTGGATTTGTCAAGTTTAATAAAAAGAAGAATTAGGGGAGACATGATAGCAGTTGCCACAAAGAAGAGGAAGTCAAGCTATTCTCTAAAGCACCTGAGGGCAGGACAAGAAGTAATGGATAGAAACTAATCAAGGAGAGAAGCAACTTAGAACTAAGGAGGAATTTCCTGACAGTTAGAACAATTAATCAGCGGAATAACTTGCCTCCAGAAGTTCTAAATGTTCCAACACTGAAAGTTTTTAAGAAGAGATTGGAAAACCATTTGTATGAAATGGTATAGGCCAGGGTTTCCTGCCTGAAGAAGGGGTTGGGCCTCCGAGGTCCCTTCCAACTCTGTTTTTCTATTCTGTTAAATCTGTCATACACATTCTTCCCAAGAACCTAGAATTCGTAATGTATCAACAGAGTATATATGCAGTTTCAAACAGTGTAGTTTTTGTAATTGACAGAGAGAAATTTGGCTAATGTAGATTTTCTAAATGCCATCCAAGAGCTTTTGGAATGGCACGCAGTGTGCTGATAATAACTATTAATAATATTATTTATATGAGGCCACGCTCCAATGCAATATAGCATGGAAGATCTTTTCCCGATAACCTGGAAAAATGTCTAGATACTACCAACAAGCAGTTCATTTTCCTCAGTCTTTTAAACCTTTAATTCTCTAGTAAAGGCCTGATATGAAGAGAAGCAGTGTGGAATTTATGTTATACCATCGAGAACTCAGTAGTGAGTGATGCTTTCCAAAGAGAACTGGATTCAGGAAATTGGTTGATCCACTTAATTTCCTTGTGAAAGGGCTTTGCGGTTCTTGTTTGATCACATGCCTAAGAGATGAGGATGCTGCATTCTGCAGCATTCTAGATCACCCTTGTATAACATAAACCAGTTTTACTAGGTTTGAGAAAGCATATTCCTTGGGGTTGCAGCCTTAGCCTCCTCTGAGTGAGAGAAACAACAAAAAGTAGTTTATATCAGGGGTCTCCAACCTTGGCAACTTTAAGACTTGTGGACTTCAGCTCCCAGAATTGAAGCTGGCTGAAGAACTCTGGGAGTTGAAGTCCATAGATCTTAAAATTGCCAAGGTTGGAGACTCCTGGTTTATATTATTCAGTGACTACATATACTACATTTTTTCCTAAGGTGGCTTTTGATGCTGTATTTTTCCCCTCACCTATTATTAGTGAAATGATAATGGGAGCCCTGGCTAGCCCAAGATAAGAAAAACTGTTAGTCTCAGCTGTACAGGTCATTCCTTTAATAGCCACCTGGCAGCATAACCGTTGAACAAAGTCGTGTTTCCTACTTCTTATTAGAGTGAAACCACTGTACCTGCCAATTCTCTTTTTAAAAAAAGTCATTCCATTTGGTGTGTCCTCTTAACAGCCTTTTTTAATTTAGAAGAGGTGTCTCCAATCTTGGCCACTTGAAGCCTGGTGGACTTCAACTTTGCTAGCTGGGGAATTCTGGGAGTTGAAGTCCACTAGGCTTCAAGTGGCCAAGGTTGAAGACCTCTTATTTAGAAAGTTGGCCAAAGCGCAGGGATATAACATATCCCAAGAACATGACAGATCATCCTAGCTTCTGATCTCGTAAAAACCTGCATCAAACTCCTTAGAAGAGACATCCAAAGTCCATAGCTGATCATTTCTAAACATTGAATGGCAACCTTACTTTCAACCTGCCCATTTTGGAACATATACAAAGTGAGCAACATTAAAGAAACAGAAAATACGGGAGTGGTGAAATTTCTGTTCACAAGCTTTATATAACTCAGTTGGCAACAGACTTTCCTAAAGGCAGGGATGGAGCACATTAAATACAGTCAGATGTTCCAGAAAACATCTCCCCCGTTGAGAGCTCACTTAAAGGGACTGTTGGCTTTCTTGTACAATGTCTCAAGAAATGGGACAGTCTCTAAATAACCACCTCCAATAGCATACAACATTATATACCACAGATGTTTCTTCTCCTCTGCTCTTCCTCTAATTTCTTAATCAGCATTCAGTTCATTAACATTATTATATAATCATGAAGATCACTCCACAGTGACACTCTAACCCACACCACTTGGAAAAATATGGTTTCTCAGATTCGCTTTGGTTTAGACACTGCATGTGTAAGTCTAAAATGAACACATATTAATATGGGTTTTTTTCTAGGAAATCTTCTTGGTATTACAGACTGATGCTTGTTAAAACAAAACTACAGTTCTGCATTATCTGCTGAACAATAATGAATCCCTTATGTATTGGTTCCCCTTGAGATTAAATGACCTTTCTCCCCCCCCCCACCTTCTTGCCTAAAATATAATACACAAGCTCTACACAGTAGATCAAGAAGTAGGACACGTCCTTTCAACAAGTAATACTGTAACTCTGAAAATACTTATTTAAGAAAATACCAGAACCTCAATGTTTTCAAAATAAAGCAAAGGGTCCTAAGGACTGGCTAGATTAGAACACTGCTACTTTATTGACAATAGCTCAAGCAGCAACATAAAACAAAACCATGAGGAAGCACTTACTGTACACAGATAATTTATGAAACTTCTAGGCACATGGCAAGTCACTTGCACATTATTCAAATGGAATACGCAAACATATTGGGCATGACCACTGTTGTGATAAGCTTCTTGGGCATGGCTGTACTGAACTTTTGCAGGCCACAACAGGTGAAACCTCTTGCTTGTATGTTTCCCACAGAGCGCCTCACTGAACAGGGAACAGGGAACCAGGCCATTAGATGCAGTTCTCACATCCTCATGCACTAAAATTCAGGCACCAAGAACCCTTCCCTGCTGAATTAAATGACAAAAAATGACTGTTACCTGGGCAGATCAGCAAGGATGACATACAAGAGGCAGAGATGCCCTATTTTATTCCATGTTAGCCGGTTCTCCCAGCTTCTCTCTTCCATAGCCATGGGAATGTGTGTGCAATCCACCTGCATATCCTGTAGGTCAGGGGTCTCCAACCTTGGCAACTGTAAGCCTGGAGGACTTCAACTCCCAGAATGCCCCAGCCAGCAAAACTGGCTGGGGTATTCTGGGAGTTGAAGTCCTCCAGGCTTAAAGTTGCCAAGGTTGGAGACCCCTGCTGTAGGTCACGGAACGCAAACACGCGCACACGCGCGCACACGCGCGCACACACACACACGGCACCCACTCACTTACCTAGCTTGGCCATGCACCAAACAAAAAAGAGGATCGCGCAGACGAAGCCCAGCTGTTGCAGCAGCATCTCCCGCCTCTTGCGAACTTTCCTCAGTTTGGCGAGCGGAGGCTTCGAAGGGACCCTCGGCGGCGGGACCTCCAGCCCCATGGCGAGCCGGAGCGGCTGAGGACGCTCTCGGGGGCGGAGGGGGGGGACCTGCGGGAGGCCGGGAAGGAGGCGAGGCAGCTCCTCGCGATTTGGCCGGAGGGACTCACTCGGAGGGGATCCCCGCGGAAGGTTTCATAACCACGACCAAAGACGACCCGCACCTCCGAGAAAGGGAGGGAATCCCGCGAGAGGGGGGACCGGCAGCCGCAGCCAAAGCCTCCTTGGCGGCGGCGGAGGGGGGGGTGACTTTCTCTGCCCGCGATCACCTCTCGGGCCGAGCCGCCCCCTCAGCCTCGCCGCCACCGGGCAGCGCGAGTGAACGGCCGCGCCCCTGCAGACGGAGGGCAAAGCCGAGCCAACGATCCCCGCCGGAGGCAGAGAAGTAGCTGGGAAGGCGGCATCCGAGGGCGCCGAGCTCCGGCAGCGGAACAGGCTCCAGGCGCGCCTGGGCGACTGAGGAGAAGAAGAAGGGGAAAAAAAAAAAGAGTGCGAAGCAGGAGGTTAAGGCGGCGGCGGGGGGAGCCCGGCTCCGCTTAGCATCCCACTGGAAAGTTTCAGATCGCCTGCCCGTTCTTCCCGCCGCCGTTGCCGGAGGGAGCCAAGGCGGCGGAATCAGCGACCCTGGACGCTGGAAGCAGCGGCAGCGGCATCAGCATCTCCCCTTGCCTCCAGTCGGACGTTCAAGTGCACCCGTCCGCCCACGCCGCGCCTGCCTTTGATCGGCGTTTCCCGGGAAGGCAGCGGAGCAAATTCCTTCGCGGCGCTTTTCCTGCGTGGAAATTGCCCAGGCGCAACCTTCCTTCGCCGTTCGATTCCTGGGCAACTTTCCCAACCGAGCACCTGAGTCTTTCCCCACACCCCCGCCTCCAAACCCCGCCGTCAACACGCATGCGCCTCTCTCTGCCACCGCCACTACCAACTCCCCCCCACTCCCCCGGCCAAAACCTCCCGGGGGGCCGTTATCTCCTTGATTGCCACACGATATGATCCGTGTGGTTTTCCCGCCGTGGCCCGGCGGCGGAATGGAGATTAACTGGCCAAATTAATCTTTTCCCCTAAATAGCGCAGGCATTATCCCTTCTTCGTTTAGCGCCAGGCAGGGCTCTGCATGCGCTGGTGAAGCGTGCAAAGAGCATGTGCTCCTGAGACAGAGCCGGACTTCTAGTCAGAATCACGCGCAGACTACTTTTCTCCATCCAAGCCAAAGGACGGGAGTCAGGATTGTACGGTACTCAGAAATGGGCAAAGACATTAGCCTTAGCTGAGGAATGCTTACAGGTTTTCAGACAATTCTGCAGATAATAGACATAAGAAAAGTAAAGCCAGGAAGGGGTGAGAATTGGGTGAAGTTGCTGAAGAAAACGACATGTAAAATATAATTAACATCTAATTGTTGTGTTCTTTATTAGGAGCACTGATTCCTATGATCCATTTCCTGTTTAGATGATAGATAGATAGATAGATAGATAGATAGATAGATAGATAGATAGATAGATAGATAGAGACAGACAGACAGACAGACAGACACACACACACACACACACACACACCCTGGCAGAATTTATATTTCTTGGCCATTTTTCAGAGAATATGAACACAAAAACATAAAAAACTTTTCTTTCGCTCATGGTTAGTGTATGGCTGAAGCTATTTATTATCAATCAACTGTGTTTACTCTTTTTTAATTCATAATGACAACAGAAACTACCCAAATTATCCTGATCAAAAGTTTACATACCCTGGTGATTTTGGCCTGATAACATGCACACAGGTTGGCACAAAGGGGTTTGAATGGCTGTTAAAGGTAACCATCCTCACCTGTGATCTGTTTGCTTGTAATTAGTGTGTGTGTATAAAAGGTCAATGAGCTCCTGGACTCCTGACAGACCCTTGCATCTTTCATCCAGTGCTGCATTGATGTTTCTGGCTTCTGAGTCATGGGGAAAGCAAAAGAATTGTCAAAGGATCTGCGGGAAAAGGTAGTTGAACTGTATAAAACAGGAAAGGGATATAAAAAGATATCCAAGGAATTGGGGATGCCAATCAGCAGTGTTCAAACACTAATCAAGAAGTGGAGAATGAGGGATTCTGTTGAAACCAAACCACGGCCAGGTAGACCAACTAAAATTTTAGCCACAACTGCCAGGAAAATTGTTCAGGGTGCAAAGAAAAACCCACAAATAACTTCAGGTGAAATACAGGACTCTCTGAAAACATGTGGTGTGGCTGTTTCAAGATGCGCAATAAGGAGGCATTGGAAGAAAGGTGGGCTGCATGGTCACGTCACCAGAAGAAAGAGCCATTACTACACAAATGCCACAAAGTATCCCGCTTACAATACGCCAAACAGCACAGAGACAAGCCTCAAATCTTCTGACACAAAGTCATTTGGAGTGATGAGACCAAACTTGAGCTTTTTGACCACAATCATAAATGCTACATTTGGACAAGAGTCAACAAGGTCTATGATGAAAGTATACCATTTCTACTGTGAAATACGGAGGTGGATCGCTGATGTTTTGGGGATGAGTGAGCTGCAAAGGCACAGGAAATTTGGTCAGAATTGATGGTAAGATGAATGTAGTATGTTATAAAAAAGATACTGGAGGAAAATTTGCATTCATCAGTCCAGAAGCTGCTCATGGGATGTACTTGGACATTCCAACTTGACAATTATCCTCAATACAAGGCCAAGTCGGCCTGTCATTGGCTACAGCAGAATAAAGTGAAGGTTCTGGAGTGGCCGTCTCAGTCTCCTGACCTCAATATCATTGAGCCACTCTGGGGAAATCTCAAACATGCAGTTCATGCAAGACAGCCCAAGAATTTACAGGAACTGGAGGCTTTTTGCCAGGAAGAACAGGCAGCTTTACCATCTGAAAAGATAAAGAGCCTCATCCACACATACCACAAAAGACTTCAAGCTGTCATTGATGTTAAAGGGGGCAATACAACGTATTAAGAACTGGGGTATGTAAACTTTTGATCAAGGTCATTTGGGTAGTTTCTGTTGTCATTATGATTTAAAAAGACTAAACACAGTTGATTGATAATAAATGGCTTCAGCCAACCACTAACCATGAGCGAAAGAAAAGATTTTGTGTTATCATTCATATTTTCTGAAAAATGGCCAAGAAATCATAAATTCTGCCAGGGTATGTAAATTTATGAGCACAACTGTATATATGGCCCAGATTAAACATGCTGTTGGCTGAAAGAATGAAATGGTAATCCTAGCAAATTTAATTTTAATATATCAGGAATGCGGTAAACTTTCACAAAAGATAGTCATTAGAAGCCATGCTATAAAAATATTGAAAACTTGACTGCCTTGATATTAACATTATGTTTATCAATTACAATGTATGCTAAATCTGACATAGAATTTAACAAATTTGTACAAGGTGTTTGCTCTCACCAAGTTTTT